CCCTGCTTTATAGCATTTCAAACCAATGGCTGTCCAGTTTCTTCTTAAAAGCCTCCAGTGAAGGAGCACCTACAACTTCTGAAGGAAAGCGGAACAGTTTGTGGAATTATTCATGACCATTTATTTCTCAGCACTATCACGGGGGTAATGCTTTCCGGCCTTCCCGGACCCTTACTAGTAAAAGTCTGAATCACGTTGCTTTTAGTCCAGAACTGCAAAAAGGAACCAATAAGACAGCACTCTTAATTCACACATATTGATCAAGCGAGTTAAAAACAAAAACAGGTTCCAAGTTTCTTCTTAAAATGATAATCCGAATGAGGGCAAGGTGCAGAAAGTTTGACTTTGGGGCGGCGGGGTGGGGAAGGAAACAGCCCCTCCAGAAGAGGCAATCCAAACGAGCGTCAGGGCATCCTGAAGAAAACACATTTGTCACATTTGTTCTACTTTATAGGAAAGCAACCGCAGTCCGAACAGCCGGGCCTAGGTGGGAATTAGGCCCTTTTCCCGCTTCTTCTCTTCTTCCAGAAAAGCCTTAGGGGGCGGGGGGGGGAGCTGAGGAAAGCCCCCAAATGCTTTTTGCTGGCCAAGATAGCTTCTTACGAGGAATGTGTGGGGAAAAAAAACCTGCACGACGACAGGTAAGAAACCGTAACTTGTCCGCTGAGGGGAAGCAAACGGAGACCGGCGAAAACGAAACGTTATTCCGAATGTTTTCGCTTCCATCAGGCAGCCGAGATAGATAATGGGCGGAGTTTAGCCACAAAAGCATCGGGCGCATGCGCGCACAATTCCCCCCCCACACACACACACCGCTTCCGCGGTTCTGACGTTTGTTGCGGTTTTGTCCGTTGGGCTGCGCCGGGAGGGAAAGGGGCGGGGAAGGAAGCGGGGGGCGTGTCCTCCGGCGCGCGCCGCAGGCCTCAGGGGCCGTTTGAGCGGCGGTCGCCCGGGCCAAGGTGGAGGGTGGGCGTGGCCTTCCTTGCCCGGCCGGCCTCCCGTTGGTTGGTTGCCATGGCGACGGCGGGGACTTACCTGTCCTGAGCGGCCGAGGTTGCTGGCCAGGTTGTCGCTCCTTGAAGTGGCCCTCCTCGAAGGGGGCAGTTGGAGGGCCCTGAGTTCGTATTCTGCTGCCCTATTCTTCCCTCGAGATGTGACTATTAGATTCCCAGGAATGAGGGGTTGACGACCCTCCTCTCGTTCCCCTCTTACTAAATTTAAAAAGGAGTTCTAACCCATAGTCTGCATAGGGCATTTTCAAAGGGGTGTGCAATCCTTTTTTGGGGGGATTCCCCCCCCCCCATTGCTAGGCTAGAAATTTTCTCTGCTTTTCCCAGTTTCAAGAGGACCCCTTCCTCTGCCTTCCTTACCACCAGACCTTTCTGTTTAGGGGGCCAGCTTTTCATTTTTCGAAGAACGTGCCAGCAGTGTGGATGGCACCATTTGGGTTTGGATGGTGCAGCTGTTCCCACTAGTTCTCCGGAGCTGGGCATGTTTGTGCTGGGTTGGGAAGACTTGGCTCTTAATAGAAGGATCCAAAAGGTGTTTATTTTGGGGGGTTCAGCAATCGACTTCCTTTCATAGTGCTTGATCTTGATTGCAACCATTGCTTAGTTTTTGGTGCATCGAACTGGTGGGTGTTCTTGGTTTTGGATATTTCATTGGTTCCCAAACGTGGTGGCATTGGTATTCTTCAGGATCATGTCAGACACAACCCTCAAGGCATCTGAAGCCTCCGGACCTCGGGCTGTAGTTACAGATCAAGCTTCTTCTGGTCCTGTTGTTGAAGGCCCCACCGATTCCTCTTTTGGTGAGCACAATCTTAGCTTCACCACCACAGACCTCAGCCTGGTGGAGATGACAGAAATAGAATACACACAACTTCAACATATACTCTATTCCCATATGGAAGCCCAGTCAAATGAAAACGAAGTGGAAAGTAGGTTAAACTTGAATTGCTTCTCAACCAACAATGCTGCGAATCAGTCCCATTACTTGTCATCATCTAGTAGCAGTCAAGGTGGCTTCTCATCAAACAGCTCTGGAAACCAGTCTCTCTACCCCATTATCTGCCAGTCTGGCTTGACTTCTGACAGCAGTTTCACAGGCCCTAATCAGTGTCTAGGGCATATTGACTTTCAAGAGCTAAGGATGATGTTGCTTAGTGAATCTAGCCTACCACCAGGCCAAGCTGAAAAAGCACCCAATGGGAACTCCATAGATATCAATGGGCAAAATTTAGTAAAATTAAAATGTAGTGAAACATCGGGCAGCGTTAATAAAGAAAATGTAGTTGCAGAAACTTTAGCAGCAGTTCCTGAATCCAGAACCAAATCTGCAGTCCGTGTTCGGTTAGAAGACAGATTCAACAGTCTCCAGACTGAAATTCCCAGGTGCCAAGAAACTCAAGAAACTGGAGTAGCCCTTAACAAGTGTGTTTCATTTTTATTTTCTGTTAACATATTATTCAATTTGCTGGTAATATTGATTCATCAATAAAACTAGGGAATTGCTGAAGTTTGGACACATATTTCCTATATGTTAATTATATATTATTTTTTCCCCAGAAAGTAATTATCAGTACTGTATTCAAGTTAATTATAATTGTATTTACCATCTGGTATACACATACAGCAAGGAACAGTCATTCCAAAATTCAGCTCCCTTGGTTTTAAAAGTAAGGTAGTTATATTTAATTAAGGATGATTTTAAACTTCCATATGAATCCTTATCCATATTAGTTGTGGTGCTCTGGTTTTTAGAATAATGCAGTCATTTAATTGAATCACTCCTAAGAGAGAGGAGCTTTGAATGCTCTTTGTGAATCTCTAATTCCCTGCACTCACAGGCATCTCTTAACAGAGAAGTCAAAATGATGACATGCATGATTTAATGTCTTTGTGCAAATATGTAATTATGTAAATGCATTAATGATGCAAGTACATGATTTGCACCATTTGTATGATAATGTCATGACAAGGGTATTGTGGTTTGCCTCCTCCCTATAGATGCCTATGCCTGCACTAAAAAGAGTTCTATGCCAATTTTGTCTGACCAGAAAACCAAGCAGATTTAGACTAGTTTGTACTTGGATCCTCTACCACAAAAGAAATCCCGAAATTCAGGTTAGAGTGAGGATTAAAACTACATGCTGGAAAAAAGGAATAACAAATGACTTCCATGTTGTTATCAAGACAACTGCATGGATGTGTCAAGGTCAACTCAAGATACAGTGACTTCTGATTTCCAAGCATATGTGCTTTCTTAAGATTTTATACTGAAAGTTTAGACTGATACTCAAAATTTCTCACAAGATTATTGGCTTCCATTCCATATGTGCTGAAATCAATAGTCCTATAAATAGACATACTGAAAATTGCCAATAAATAATTTCACTACCAATTTTTCCTCAAGAATATTGGACATACTTTTGATTCTACGTTGGCTTTATTTGTGGTTCTTGTAAAAGTTATTTTTTATTCATTTATTATGCATTTTGTTTGACATAAACCCACCATGTGCATTTCAAGTTATAAATTATTATTGCTATCATATCCCAGAAATTTTTTTCTGGGTTTGCTTAGTATTCATCACTCAGAGCCTAGTAATTTGGGCAGGATGCCAACAATATAAAAATTTTTTAAAATGAATTAAAAACCTACTCTTTGTCTTCCCAAGAATGTGACTACAAAGATAGCTTGTTCCTGGTTATCCGATCAACTGAATTGATTGAATTAGTTGGGGAAATATATTTTTTATACTGACATATTGCACATTGAATGACTTTATGAAATAAATGACACAAGGATTCAACTTTTTTTTAACTCCGATTCTATACATCATAATAGTTATATAAATTCTCAAAATGTAGTGACAAGAATGGGAAAAAACTTCAGAAAATCTGAAAAAGTGGGAACACTTAGAAACTAGCTTGGAACTATGAGCCACTTTGGTACAGTGGTTAGAGTACTATAGGCTACTTCTGCAGCCTGCCGGCTGCCTGCAATTTGGCAGATTGAATCCCACCAGGCTCAAGGTTGACTCAGCCTTCCATCCTTCCGAGGTGGGTAAAATGAGGACCCAGATTGTTGGGGACAAATAGGCTGAAACTGTAAACTGCTTAGGGCTGTAAAGCACTGTGAATCGGTATATAAGTCTATGTGCTATTGCTATAAAATAGAATAGAATAGAATAAAAATAGAATAGAATTATTTATTGGCCAAGTGTGATTGGACACACAAGGAATTTGTCTTGGTGCAAATGCTCTCAGTGTAAATAAAAGAAAAGATACATTAGTCAGAGTCAAGAATCAAGGTACAAATATATAGGAAATATTACCCACTCAAGCATTGAAAAACTAAAGTATGTAGCCAAATGTTCATTAAAATGAATTATTACTGCACTGTGTTACTATTTGAAAAGGTTTAAAAAGCAAGCATGTTTCTTTGGATTTAAAAAGAAAGTTATTTGTTAAACACCTTGTCCGGATATATGGTTGGTGTATGTTTAAGTAGTATTCTGAAGTGACTATTAATATATAAAAAATAAGGATTCATTTCAAACAAGCTCCATTCTTTTATTGATCTCGTTCATAGTTTAGTAACCCTCATTCGCCATCCTTCAGAAGCGATGGGTGTTCCTCTCCACCAGCAGCAGAACAAATGTACTGCTTTAGTGAAAAATAGGACTGCTGCTACTGCTACCACCGCGTTGCAATTCACATGTCCGGTCTTTACACCAAACACTGCTTCTCTTGCAACAGGAAACACCAATGCTGCACAAGCGCAGGTTTGTTCGTTTATTTTGTTCCTCCTTTGATATTTCAGTTGACGCTTTACATTATTCATCCTTGACTTACAACCACAATTGAGCCCTAAATTTTTGTGAGAAATGTGTTAAGTGAATTTTGCTGCTTTTTACAACCTTTCTTGCCATTGCTGTTAAGTGAATCCTTTGCAGTTGATAAGCTAGTAACCTGGTTGTTGAGTGAATCTGGCTTCCCCGTTGACTTTGGTTGACAGAAGTGTCGCAAAAGGGGATCACGTGACCTCACAGGACACAGCAACAGTCCTAAATGTGAACCAGTTGCCCAGTGTCTGAATTTTGATCACATTATCATGGGGATGCTACAAAGGTCATAACTCTGAAAAACGGTCGTAAGTCACTTTTTTCAGTACCATTGTAACTTTGAACGGTCACTAAATGAACTGTTGTAAGTTGAGGACAATCTCTAATAGGGATTTACAATCTTGAGTTTTGAATCATACAGATTTGTGTCACTTGTTGGATGTCATTTGATGGAAGCGATCAATCTGGACACGGTCCAAACCAAGTGGGAAAGATCTGAGGAAAAACAAAACCCAAAGTCTTCTCTTTTGCTTTGTATCCTATCCAATCTATTTTCTTGCTTTCAAACTAAATTTACAATACTTACAAATTTACGGTGTTTTCTCTCTCTCTTCCATATAGAGCTCTGGATCCAGTGTTGTAGAAACAGTCAAACATCAAGACCTTGCATTGCCTCGAGCTTTTTCTGTGTGTTACCAGCAAGAAATTGAAACTAGCAAACAAACAGTTGGTGCCAGAAATAAAGCTGTACCTGAGCATGTTTGGATTAAATTGGGAGGTATATGGTGATGTTTTTTTTTCTCATGCTTCTGTTAGCTTCTTAAGGATTTCAACTTAAAGAAAAATATTCTTTAACAGTACATGTCATGAAAATTATGCCACAAATTAATTTTTTAAAATATATTTGGAAGATATGAAGTTATGGATGATCCTGGAGATGTTGTGGTATTAATGGATTTTACTGAATACAATGTTTCTTTTTTAGTGTTTTGTTTGTATAGTACAAGAAAAAGCAACAGAAAATGCTCAGAATTGAGCAAACTAAAAACTTTTCAGAATTGAGCAAACTAAAAAAAAAAAAAAAGAAATTTAGGTCAGTTCTCCAGACTCTACAGCGGTTTCTTCCATATATACAGTAGATAGGTGTATCTACTGCTGTTGAAGTCAGAAGCAACTGGAGTCATAAGGTTTAACTATTGTATGATTAATTATGGTTATAACTTGCCAGCCAGCGGATACATTTAAGAGGGTGTAATAATTTCAAATTAGCAGAGGAATTATAAGTTAAAGAATAAATTATCACCTTTGGTTTTCATGCTGATTTTTGTCCTGCAGTAAGGCATTTCAGTGGGAATATCAGAGTTGCAATTTCTCTTAAAAATGACTTAATGGTTTTATTAAATTGAAAATAATTTCTATATCTTAAGTAGATATTTCTGTTAACATCCTGCTAAGATACAACTGTATTTATGTTTCTAAGATGGAGAGTTTCTGCAGAAGAAACAAAGCTGTCAAGATAGTAGCCACAGCTGGGCGAATAAAACCCTACTACATTTTTATGGGTGTTACAATAGATGTAAAACAGCTGCACTTCCATTACATGGTTATGTTCACTCTTTTTAACATTTGACACACACACACACACCCGTGGACACCCCTGCTAAAATGCACTTAAATTTACATATTTTTATCAGTAAAAAATGAGATATTAGTGGATGGAACTATTTTTATACACTCTACTGGAAATAGGCAGTCCTTAGCCTACAACCATAGTGGAAGCTGCCGACTATGGTAGTAAATCATGATGGTCCTAAAATGGGTTGCCCACGTGACCAACCCAATTTTACGACCTTTTTTTTGCAGTGTTCCTTAAATGAACTCCTGTTGAGTTTGGGCAAAAATATAACTCGTGCAGCACGCTGAAAATGCCCGGTTTCCAAGCTCTCAAAATGCAGTCACATGACCATGTGTTGGGGTGGCCATCAGAACTTTGGAATCAGGTCATAAGTACCTCCGGAAAGGTTTGTTGTAACTTTGAAGTACAGATAATCCTCGACTTACGACCACAATTGAGCCCAAAATTTCTGTTGTTAAGTGAGACATTTGTTTAGTGAGTTTTGCCCCATTTTACGACCTTTCTTGCCCCATTTGTTAAGTGAATCCCTGCATCTTATAAGCCAGTAACCCAGTTTTTAAGTGAATCTGGTTTCCCCATTGACTTTGCTCGTCAGAAGGTCACAAAAGGGGATCCCAATGATCTCATCTGAATTTTGATCAGGTGATCCTGGGGATGCTGCAAAGATTGTAACCGTGAAAAATGGCCCTAATTTACATATCTCAATGCCGTTGTAACTTTGAATGGTCACTAAATTGAACAGTTGTAAGTTGAGGACTACCTGCACTGGATTTAAATTGAGGATTGTCTGTAAACCAGAGAGGTTGCAGAGTGAAATTATTTGTCAACCGTCATTTTGATATACCCGAACAACGGCAAAATAGGACCCCCTTTCCCTTTTTTCTTTTGTACAAAGGAGAGACTTTGTGTAAGCAGTCGATAAACAGAAGAAGTCGTAGTCGTATCCATCCCTTGGATACCAACATACAGCGCAGGCCTCTTGGTGACATTCAGAATGTGTGTGAGAATCAAAATGCAGCTCCAGCTCAGAGTTCATGGCAGCCGGTCCAGCCAGCCCAAAATACACACAACGGAAGCCAAGGCAGCGTCTCCCAACGCCGGGAGAGGCACAACCGGATGGAAAGAGACAGAAGGTAATTGCTATTGGCAGCTTCTTGAGTTAGCCGTTCTCTGTGGAAGTATTTCAAATTCCTTTTTACAAGCCTTTTGAATTAAAAAGAATTCACAAACACACACACACCCCACACACAAATTAAAAGTACTGTATACACGTTCAAAATAATGCGCTTTATAATTGAATGCAGGGTTTGGTCGTTCTATAAGTCATGCTGCCAAGGATCCTAGCCGGTCGTAATATCATGTACTGATTTTCCGAAACGATCTTTCTTTCCTTGTATCTATTTTAGCTTGCATTTCTTGAAAAAAAAACATTTTTCTTTCCACATTCAAAATGAATCAACTTTACAACAGAAACAATATGATGGTGCAATTACAATATGAATTATAAAAATGCAATGGTTCCTTTTTTATTTTCTCAACAACACCTTTACACAAGGGCACAACAAGGCTAATGTTTTGTTAAGGCCTTAGACCTACCAATATGTGACAGTTGAATCAATGTTTGTCAGCACCCTCTTCCTCCTCCTCCTCCTTCCCTACTCTTTGAGGTCTTCAGTGCCTCCCTCATTGCCACCATAACTGAGCCTGTCTAACTTAATGGTGATCACTCTTCTCTTTTTCCTTCCAACCTTTCTCAGCATCAGAGCCTTTTTCAGAGAGCTAGGTCGTAACCCATGGATTCAATGAAAACTCAAAGCAAAACTAAGTAAAACCAGTTTACTGCAAACATCAGGCAACAATACTAGACCAGCTTGGGAATTTTCCAAACTTCACAAGTTATGGTTATGGTGGATCGGGTGTTCCGAGGTGTCATTAATTCATCAGTCCTTCCTGCGCTCCCTTTGTTGAATTTCCCATGAAGAAAAGAATTAGGGAGATTAGCAGAGTGTCAGAAGAGGGAACCCAGTAATAATAATATTATTATTATTATTATTATTATTATTATTATTATTATTATTATTATTATTATTATTATTATTTTGTTCAGAGAGCAAAATCTGACCAAACTTAGAGTGGTTTTAGAATTACATAATTAAAGTACAGGTAGTCCTTGAACTACGACCACAATTGAGCACGAAATTTATGTTGCTAAGTGAAACACTTGTTAAGTGAGTTTTGCCCCATTTTACGAATTTTCCTGCCACCCTTCAGTGAATCACTGCAGTTCTTGGTAACATGGTTATTAAGTGAATCTGGCTTCCCCATTGGCTTTGCTTGTCAGAAGGTCGCAAAAGGGGATCACGTGACCCCAGGACACTGCAACCGTCATAAATATGAACCAGTTGCCAGGCATCTGAATTCCGATCATGTGGCCATGGGGGATGCTGCAACGGTGATAAATATGAAAAACAGTCATGTCACTTTTTCAGTGGTGTAACTTTGGACATCTCTAAATGAACTGTTGTAAGTCAAGGATTACCTGTATTACTTTTCATCTATCCAGCCCTTGCTAGTGATCTATTTTCCTAGCAGATGCTTTCCCTAATCTAATTCTTTTATTCAAGAAGAATCTTTTGCACCGTTCTATCAGCGTGTCATGTTTTGCACAACAACAAAATAAGATTTCCCGGGAATCAAGAGGAAGAGCAGATGAAGCAGTACGAGAAATGAATGAGACCAGACTGTGTATTATTTAGGTGTCAGGGGCAAGGGGGCAAGTTTAATTAAAAGGAGGATATTTAAATCTTTTTTTAAAAAAATGCTTCATATTGTGTAATAACCTTACAAACACATTTGACTAGTTATTTAATCTGGAGTTTGTACATTCAGGTAGTCCTCGACTTAATGACCAGAGTTGGGACCAGAATTTCCATTGGTAAACAAGGTGGATGTTAAGTGAGTCATGCCTGATTTTATGCCTTCTTTGCCACGGTTGTTAAGTGAGTCATTGCAGTGAATTGAACAGTTTTTTATGTGAATCCAGCTTCCCCTATTGACTTTGCTTGTTGGAAGCCAGCTAGGAAGGTTGGAAATGGTATTCACACAATCCTAGGATGCTGCAACCATCATAATTTTACGCCCATTATCAAGTGCACGAATTCTGATCACATGACTGTGGGGATGCTGCGATGGTCATAAGTGTGGGGGCTTTTTTTTTTCCAGTGGCATTTTGGTATTGAATGATGGCTAAACGGACAGTTGTAAATTGAGGACTACCTGTATAAAGTCTTTTTGGATTCAAGAATCGACCATGAGTATATATATATGCATTTCTAGGCGCAGAATCAGGATTTGCTGTGATGAGCTGAATCTTCTAGTTCCATTCTGCACTTCAGACACTGACAAGGCAACAACCTTACAATGGACAACGGCATTTCTAAAATATATTCAAGAGCGACATGGAGATTCTCTGAAAAAGGTCAGTAAGCTCCACATTAATATATAGAGCATTGTAATAAGAAAGCTACAGCAATGCCTCAATGTTCCTTAGACAATATTTGATTATTTATAGGATCATTTTTTATTCTTTTCATAATCTGTACATCTTCAATTGCTCAGCCTATAAATTGTATAAGGTACAGTCTGTAAGCTAAACAGGTAGGCACTAATATATAGGACAGGTTTGGATAAATCTTTTGGTAGCTGGGGAGATCCCAAAGGTGCTTTCTCAAGAGGCAACTGGACTTTCTTCATCTCTGGAGTTGAAGAAGTTGGGAGTCCAGAGAGCTGAAGAAGCTTCTTGGATGAGAAGCGAAACGTCTTCAAAGAAAAACAAAGAAAGCCTCTTGAAAAAAAAGCACCTTTGGGACAACCATGACCTGGATGACTAAGAATCTCCATAGACATTTAGCTGGGGAGATGATGTTGTGTGTGTAGTGTGAGGGCTTTATTATTTTACCCCAGCTATTTGGGAGTAGGTACTGTTCTTTGCCTAATTTTTAGAGTTTGCACATCACATGCTTATTACATTAGAATGGGAGAAAACTGGCTGAAATTGCCAAAATGTTTGATTTGTGTTCCGTGCTAGTTCTGTAGGATGCCCAAAGCCCTTCAGTTTGAAATCTTTGTTATGATAAAACATTCCTGCCAAAGGCCATTAGCACCTCTGATAGTGTTGGGATCCAGCAGCTGTTTCCTTGTGCAGGAAATATTTTTAACTAAGTAAGGCATGTGGCTTAGCTGTTAGAGCACAAACTTTTTTCATGCCTTTAAAGGGAAAAAAAGAGATTTGATACAACTACATAAGTATCTGAACAACAACACTACTGCTTACCTAAGTGCCCTGCTTTTCTAAAAAAAAGTACACAGTGAACAATATAAAAGATGACAGGAATGCTAGACAAAATATAATCTAAAGAAATATAAGCATATATTTAAAAGCAAGAAGTATATTTAAAAGCAATGCACCACAATAAACGCTTTCTTTTGCCGATCAGTGCTCACTATTATTGACTTCTTCAGTTCTTCAAGAACCAAAATCAAGGTTGTAGAGAGTTTCCAGAGATCAGAAGAAAACTTTGTTATGATAAAACAGACTGAATTCTGATAAAATGGAAAACGAGTGCAAGGGAGACAGGCAGGATATTCTTGTGAAGAAGGCAGACCAATTCTGTTACATTCTTGCTCTCTCATTTTAAGCAATTGGTATTATTGTACTTTATATCAACTTTTCTTGTTCATGCTGTAAACTGTTTAGTATCACAATAAATCATAATTTTTGGAAACGCATCATACATATCTCATATATATGCAATTGGCTGAGTCTGCACAAAATTCTCACCCGGAAAGGATAACAGATAACAGATAATCAGAGTTGGAAGGGACCTTGTAAGTCATCTAGTCCAACCCCCCACCCAAGCGGGAGACCCTACACCATTTCTGACAAATGGGAGTCCAATTTCTTCTTGAAAGTCTCAAGTGATGATGCTCCCACAACTTCCAAGGGCAACTTCTGTTCCATTGGTTGATTGTTCTCACTGTCAGAAAGTTTCTCCTTATTTCCAGGTTGAATATCTCCTTGTTAAGTTTCCAACCATTACTCCTTGTCTGGCCTTCGGGTATCTTGGAGAACAGTTTGCCCCCCCCCTCCTCCCTGTGGCAGCCCCTCAAATATTGGACGGCTATCATGTCTCCCCTGGTCCTTCTCTTTACTAGACTAGCCAAGCCCAGTTCCTGCAACCGTTCATTGTATGTTTTAGCCTACAGTCCCCTAATCATCCTGGTTGTTCTTCTCTGTACTTTTTCTAGAGTCTCAACATCTTTTTTATAATGTGGTGACAAAACTGGATGCAGTACTCTAGGTGTGGTCTTACTAAGGCTTTATAGAGTGGTACTAGTACTTCCCTTGATCTTGATATGGATGTCAGTGACTGAATTCATGCAACACACATGTTCACAATTAAACTAAAGCTTAGTTGAATTTAACTACATTTGTTTGGAGTAGATCATATTATACATAAAACAATATTGTGAAGCTACGATAGGTACCAAATATAAATTTTAGATTATAGACTAGAAGACATGTCAATCAAAGGTTTCACCCTAAAAATATCAAATCAGGTACCTAGTAAACAGTAAGATACAATCAAATAATTATGGGGAACCCAATCAATACTCATCTCGAAGGAAAAGTAATAAGATGTTCCTAAGGTGAACCAGGCAGATAAGATGCTAGGGAGCATGTGTTTCCTTTAGTTGTGGATTCATTCGTTTTTCAACTACATTAAATAAGGCAAAAGAACAGGCATAATTTTAGTCCAGAGTCTGTTTGGTATAGTGGTGAAGGCTTCAGGCTAGAAGCTGGAGATGGGAGAGGACTTGTGAGTTCTAGTCTCACCATAGGTACAAAACCAGTTGAGTGACCTTGGGCCAGTCATCCTCTGTCAGCCCTCGGAAAAAGGCAGTGGCAAATCACTGATAAGCTTCATGTTTTTCAGCTGCTCATTACATTCAGCGGTTCTATCAGACCTGAATTAAAGTAACTGGTTATCACTGTTATTAAAATAATTTGTATTGGCCAAGTACATTTGTATGAACTAGACTTGTTAAAAAATATATATCCTGCAAACACTTTTTGAGATATGCTGCATAAATTTAGATATCAATGTATTTACTGGCTTTAGGGATATCTTTGTGCATAGAATTGTCGTAAATGTTATTTATTCATCTTGAAATTGTTTTTCTTTGGGATTTTAGGAATTTGAAACTGTATTCTGTGGTAAAACAGGCAGAAGGCTAAAATTAACAAGATCAGATCCCATAGCAACCTGTGCAGTCCAGGAGATCACACAGAATAGTACATCTACGGACATGAAATAATATGATCCTCATATTCAAGAACTGGTGAAAAATGATCCAGGATGTCTAAACCCAAATTCACCCACTGGATTTTTCTTATAATATAGTTGACAATATGTATATATATATAAAAACACTGAAGAAATGACAAGTTTATTCAAAACAAGGAAAAAAGGAACAAAACCAACAATGTTAATTTAGTAGACCTTTTCATTTGAGGCAGGGCAACAATATTGTTCAAAACTAGTAAATGCTACTCTCCATCCCATTTCTATTTTTGATTTTGTTTGATCAAATATATATAATAATTAAAATGCTACATGTGTAGCAACCTGTTCTTTTCCCTCTTAAGAGTGCTCATATTTATATAAATTAATAGATGTGCCATAAGAAACCAGTTTTGCTATTGGAAGAAAAAATGTAAGTAATTTATAAACTATATAAAAATGGTAATTGTATATATGTAGTAACTCAGATCTTTCCTTTTTCAAAGTTCATATCCTGTAAAACTAAAATCTGTTTGTTACAAATACACTACTATTTTAAATATGTTTTGCACTTTCTCTAAGAACTTCTCATTCAGGATAAAGAAAAAGATTCTATTTTGCACAAACATCCATTTAAATGGGTAGAAGAAATGCAGCTGTAAGTTCTGATGAAAATCTCATCAACTTCTCTGGTGTTTTATGTGACAATTCCCATCCTTTTAGTGCAAAAGTATTTTGTAAAAATACATGAATTTTAAGTGCATTTTTTTCACTTTCATTTTTTAAAAGACAACTACTAGCTATATTTGTTAGGAAAGCTGATGTATTTAGTATATTTAATTGACAGTGGCTTTATCAGAACAGATAATGCTAATAGGTATTCTTATAAAGAACTTATCACAAAATAAATACTGTTTAAATCACGGATGTTCACACTTGTGTGGCCCCTTTATTTTCAATCACCAAATAAAAAAACAAAAACAAAGCAGAATTAGCCTATTATAAAATAGGCAGGCACAATATTACAATTTTTAAATTTATTTTTATAGTATACACTCATTTTCAATAGTGTTTGTTTTCTGTACTTCGGGTTTGTATCAATACATTGTAGAAAGGGTATAATGTGTTGTTACTGAATCTCCTTTATAATAATGGAGAAATGTTTAAATTTATCTCTTAAGAAACAGATGTGTGCACATTTTTTCCTCATAACCCGTGCATTAGAATTAGACATTAAGAGTTCACATCCTAGAGTGGGCTCTAAATATATCATGAAACAGATTTGCAGAATCTGTTTCCAGTGCATTTGTGGTCAACTCACACCCACAAAAACTCAGATGGATGTCCAACATGGCTTTTGATCCAGTAGATTAAGCTGTTGTGGGCACAAAATGTTAGGGAAGGAATTTCAAGGGAATCTGTGAATTCTGCACATTTTATAAACGATAGTTTTAATCATCCAGGTTGATTCAATTCACCCGTTTTACATTTGTGAACCCCAGTCAAAATAGGGAGCTCTGCAAAGTATCCCTCTTTAACAGGACTATGTCTGCATTTTGTCTGAATCACCTGCCCAGGTATCTACCATTGGATCATCTGCCAAATAATACAACATTTACATCTGTTATTTTACCAGTAGTAAAATGGGATTAATAAACATCAAACAGTGCCAAGTACAGTCATTGCAAAAACTGGTATAATTTTAGGAAGAGGGAAACTGTTAACTGGAAAATACTTCAGGAATAATGGTATATCTCTTCAAAGAACTTGTTCTGTTTATACATGGTATGAAATAGAAATTAATTACAGGGTCCATTATGTGTATATTGATCTCTGCCCCCGGCCGCCCCAATGGAAATATAGCATCCATTTTATTAACTTTCTTTCAATCAGGACAATGTTTCTTTTTTTAATGTGTATGAGCAATTCCACTCTGGGGTCCTTGGTCTTCTCTAAGGTTGGAAGTTTTCTTGCAGATGTTTCATTACCAAACAAGGTGACATCATCAATGCACTGATGATGTCGCCTAGTTGGGTAGCTAAACATCTGCAAGAAAACCATCAAGCTCAGAGAGCACCACTTCAACCCTGAGCTGCAAATTTTCTCTTGGTAACAATTCCATTGAATATTGTGTTCCCTTTCCTCACTTCATTCATTCAACTTCATGCAGGTTTACGATTTCTTGAATTTCCCCCTAGCAGCAGCTCCCATACAGGCAGACGTGTCACAGAGTCCTGGAGTTCCTTGTGCTCCAGCTGAACCTGGTCTTCCAGGGTCCCCTGGTAACCCAGGATCACCGGGCGCACCATTCCGACCATCTTTCCTGATTCCAGGAACCCCTGGTGGTCCTTGGGAGGGGAAAAACAAAACAGTTCAGCATGTTATTCAGCATATTTTCAAGGACAAAGCCACCAGCTATAAAAACAACTACAGTTTTTGATTTGGTTTGGTTTTAAAGCTAAGTGTGTTGTCAGGGACATTTTTCTTCCTCCATATCTAAGTGTTGATCTAGACTTCTTGATCTAGAGCAGAGGTCTCCAAATTTGAAAACTTTAAAACTTACGGACTTCAACTCCAGAAGGCTGGCTGCAAAATTCTGGGAATTGAAGTTCACAAGTCTTAGGGAAACCTGGTTGAAGTCCATAAGTCTTAAAGTTGCCAAGTTTGGAGATCCCTGAACTAGATTGGTTGACATGGAAAAACCTGTCAATTTCAGCTGCGCTCAATTTCTTACCTTTGCAAATTGCCACTTGGTTCCTTGAATTAGTTACATTTTCCCCTACAAGTCCCAACAAAATTTGAAGATAGCATGGTATGCTTTTTCCCAAACAAATACATATTCAGGTTCCAATTTTGCCCGGTGTATCTAATTGGCATGAGAAATGTTGTAAGTCATTTTTATGTCTTACGTTCATGCATCCTTCAATAGACATCAACCTCTCTGCATTTTAAAATAATCAGGTTTTCATTAGAAAACTCTGAATTTCAAATTACAGCTAAGTTTTGATTCATTTAAGGCACCCACGCCTATTAATGGCTCAAAAAGTGTTTTTTTTTAGATATTCATATGTACAGTAATAGAAAGTGATAAAGAAAAAAGCTAAAACACTCAAAAATATCCAGATAAAACACATTGAAAGCCCTTCTTAATTTATAACAAAAAGATAAAGCCTCCAGAGAAAGCCATGAACATCCAGTCTTGATGTTTAGGAAAGTAGGAACATTCACCAGCAGAAAGTCCCAAAGATGGTTTTCATACAGCAATGGGTTTCCAATTTTTTTCCTACTGCTTCAGAGAGAGTGCTTTGCGCATGCACGGCTCAAAGCCCGCCCTCTGTATCAACACTGGTGAGCTATGCTGTTTTTTACCTCAGCTGAGGCGCGGCAATCCGTTCTGCCGCACGAATCAACGGAGCTAAAAACAAGGGAATGTAGGACAGGAAAGGGCGGGGGAGGGTGGCAGGGCCAACCAGAGGTAGTGTTTGTTGGTTCTCCAAACGTCAAAATTTCCGCTACTGGTACGCTAGAACTGGTCCGAACCGGCTGAATACGACCTGTTTTCATGGTTCCATACCCATTTGCATCAGTGGTGGGTTTCAAATTTTTTTACTACCGGTTCTGTGGGTGTGGCTTGATGGGCGTGGCAGGGGAAGGATACTGTAAAATCTCCAGTCAGAGGTGGGATTTGCTGGTTCTCCAAACTACTCAAAATTTCCGCTACCGGTTCTCCAGAACTGGTCAGAACCTGCTGAATACCACCTCCGATTTGCACTCTGATTCCAGTGACCCTGAGGTTATAGATAGATCCCCAGGTGACCTCAACACCTCTCAGAGAGCTAATGACTAACCTTCAGAGTGCTAATGAGGTCTGCAAAGAGGATAAATCCATCTATTTCCCACCATCCAGTTAGAACTGAAGAAGTTTCTTGCATATGAAGTGAAACATTTTCAAGGGGTGGGGGAAATGAAGAAACTCCAGTTGCCTTTTTAAAAGCACCTTTGGGGACAGCCATGACCTGGATGATTGAGAATCTCCGTAGACAATTCCCCTGCAGAATATTCTTTTCAACTTACCTTGCGGCCCTTGATCTCCAACAGGTCCATCAACGCCTTTGCCGGTGTCCCCTTTGTCTCCCTTCTCACCTGAGTCCCCTGCAAAATTTAAATAAATTCGATCCATCAGAAAGGATGGCCTTTGTGAACCGACTTAGGAAAGAAAGATCAATCTGGGATGATTGACTGTAGATCAATCTTTCGTAAGTTTTAATGCACTGCAGGTACTCCTCAACTTCTGATCACAAGCGGCCCCCGAAATTTCTCTTGTTCAGTGAATTTTGCCCCACTTTACAACCTTTCTTGCCACTGTTAAGTTAGTAACGTGGCTTGTTACGGGAAACGGGCTTCCCGATTGACTTTGCTTGTTTAGAAGGTGGCAAAAGTCCCAAAGGTGCTTTTTTTTTTTTTTCAAGAGGCACCTGGACTTTCTGGTTTTTCTTTGAAAATGTTTCGCTTCTCATCCAAGAAGCTTCTTCTTTTGCTGGGAAGCGAAACATCTTCAAAGAAAAAGCAGAAAGTTCAGTTGCCTCTTGAAAAAAGCACCTTTGGAACAACCATGACCTGGATGACAGAATCTCCACAGACAAGGCCTATGAATACATATGTCAACTCATAAAACATTCCTATGCCTGTTTTAGTAGTTGCCATAAAAAAGGAGGGAAATCTGAAAGGGCAGTGCAGCGGTTTGAAAGCAAAAGTACATTCCAACTCTTCTCTTTAAAAGATTGTAACTAAAATACCAGAGCTTTTGCCCGCAAATATATTTAATTGGAAAACATGAATGATGACACCCAGCCCGTGAACGTGCTCAATTGGAGAATCTGGTTTATGAGTGCCATGCCCTTGTTAGAGTCAGACTCTGATGGAAAGGAGGAACCGCTAACAGCGAGTGGAAGTGTGGCTCCGGAGGTTGTGGAGGAGGCTGGGGAAGGGCAGAGGGCGGCTGGGCAGTCAGAGGAAGAACCAGGCCCATTCCCTCTTCATCCTAGGACACGTAGGGAGGAATAGAGAAGGGAACAACTTGGCTTACGAGAGAGGAAGTGGCCATGATCCCCCTCATTGGTTGCAGCTGGGGAGAGTAGTATATAAGAGAGACGGTTAAAACACAGCGTTGCCAGAAGCAAAGTGTGTGTTATTTTGGGCTGAAGTTGTCTTGGTTGGCGTCCTTCCAACAGACTGTGCCTTGTTATCTCCTTGAAGTTGGTAATTACTTATCCTGGTCCGTTGTGGAATTTCCTTCATTGTAGTTTGTTTTGGTTTTTTATTTCACCTCTATCTGCTCATTAAGTTCAGACTGTATTGCTTTCTTTTGAAGACTATTTTTGAATAAGTTTTATCTACAACTGAGAATTATTGAACATTGGGCCAAGTTGGAGGCATTAAAGGACATTTACTTATGTTTTGGATTTTGTTACGTTTGTGTTACACTCCAGGCCATCACAATGAGACAGCCGGGGGGAAGGGGGGAAATAGGGTCACAGATGACTGTAAATCACATATGCGAGAGTTGGCTTCATACAGGACAGTGCCGGTATGTCGTCTCTAATGAATCCCTTGAAGTTTTTTGAAGGTTGGCTCGAGAATCATGATTTAATTAAGGGGATTGCTGGAATCCTGACAACATGAATACATGCCATTTTGTTCAGGTGACCATGGGGATGCTGCAATGGTCATAAAGTGTGAAAAATGGCCATAAGTCTCTTTATTCAGTGCCATTGTAACTTCAAACGGTCACTAAATAAATGATTGTAAGTTGAGGGCTACCTGTAATCTCTTTGGGGCTTTACTCACCTCTGGGACCAGGAATTCCCAAATGCCCTGGGGGTCCCCTGTATCCAGGTGGGCCACGAGCCCCAGGATGTCCAATGCTCCCCATTGTCCCAGCAGGCCCCGGAGGTCCAACGGGCCCAGGCTTCCCCATGAGTCCAGGAGCCAAGGGTTTCCTTAAATTAGCAGCTAACTGAGCAACGTGCTCTGGAATTAAAAAAACAAAACAAAAAACAAAGAAAGGTGGATTTTGACTTGTCAGTGGATACAGTGGAAGAATTCAAAGCATTCCCAGAGAAGCTTGCAAACATCTTGCTATAAAATAAAGCATCTCAAACCCTTTTGGATAAAAAACGGTTTTAGCTCCTTTTAAAGATTGAATATAAGCCAACTGCTCCAAAATTGTTGCGGGCTTTAGGCTGTTTAAAAAAATGCAAAAAAAAAAAAAAAACACAGAAAAATTAGATAAAGATTATAGATGATAGATAGATAGATAGATAGATAGATAGATAGATAGATAGATAGAT